CCTTATTTACTTAATTCTAATGACATGTATCATTTGTATAAAAGATTTGATATCAATAGTCGGCGCCAAGTTAAATTCTAATCTTTAAAAACCTACGTGGTATTATCCTTATTATTTACTTAAATCAATGACATGTATCATTTGTATAAAAGATTTGATATCAATAGTCGGCGCCAAGTTATTCTACCTTATTACTTACTTAATTTTAATTACATTTATCATTTGTATACAAGATTTGATATCAACAGTCGGCGCCAAGTTAAATTCTACCAAATTGAAGAGTAAAACACAAGTGGTAGGGGAGACTGGGGCTAAAAGTAACAGAGGTAAGTAGTAACACTTAAATAAAAAAATGTTATAAACATGATATGAAATTATAGATAAAGACAGAAGTCTGTAGTGGCACCATCTATTGTATAATGACAATCAGAAGCGCACGCATCATCGTCGGGCGTATGTGCAAGAGGTTATTGTAAAATACAGGTAAATAAACTTCACAATTTTTTGTAATTTTGGTCTCGGTTTTTATACATTTACTTTTGAGTAACAAATAATGTATCTATGGTACATATACAATAGTATATATATATATATATATATACACAATAGTATATATATTTATATATAATAGTATGTATATATGTATCTATATATATGTAGTGTTTGATATTATTACTTATCCGAATGGTGTTACTTTTAACCCCAGATCCGAGGTTAAAAGTAACATGTACGAAATGTAATAAAATCAAAAATTATATACAGTTAAAAGAAAAATATCTTTTACATCTGTATAATATTTTAAGTCTAAGAAATCGTAGTTTAAAACTAACTATTCATAATTTATTAATTTCAAAGGGATAAAAAATCTGAGCCTGTTTTACAAAAAATGTTACAACTAGCCTTACTCTCCCTATCTTTAATCTTTAAGACCCATATAGTACTATTATTTAAATTCTACTAAATTAAAAAGTAAAACTCATGTGATGCTATCTTTATCTTTATACAATGAAACCTAAGTATATGCTTTTGTATTCTTATTAGAAGATCTTCCTATTCGAAACTGTTCCGGAATAGGATAAGTTTCGCGCCACAAAGCCGAATAAAAGGATCGATGGCGCCATCCATCGACTCCGTCCGTGAATCTTTTCGTCGCACTCACCGCGCCGTCTTGCGAACATCTAATTATTACAATTTAACCGCGTATTTGGATATCGATGTCGCTGTCGTCCTGCCGATTCGTCGCGGTAATCGCGCAGCGCGATTCTACCCTCAGACACAAATCAGTGCTTGTCGTGACAACTCGTGCGGCAAAATTCGTTGTCTCATTAATCTAAGAAGCAATTCAGCACTTGCTGTGACAAGTCGTTGTTCTCTCAGATTCGTTGAAAGCAGCAGCTTTCTTTCTACGTGTTCGCTACCGCGACTCGTTACTTTGTACGTCTCATCACGGCTATCGTCGTGTATGAGCATCGGCGTATTAACCACAATTAATCGTTTCTCTCGCCGTGCCACGCGAATAACACTACGTCTATCTGTATGAATAAAACTTGCATACAACAAGTTAAGAAGAGTGCTCAGTGTTCTCAAACCGTCCAGTCCATCCCGTCACTGGAGATCTCAGTCGAGATCGAAGCAGCGATTTCACACATAAAGAATTTTGGTCCTTCGAGCCGGATTCGTGGCGGATAAACAACAAAGGACATTGGAACTCTCTGTTCTTTCGTGAACGTGGCACATCGCAAGATTTCCGTTTCGAGCATACCAAGTTACGGAAACCTCTCAAAATCACAATAGAAGATTTACTATAGCAGCAACGATTAGCTATGCGCTCTGTAACTCGAGCGCTGGAAAACTTTAAGAAGATCGGCCGTGCAAATCACACGTACGGCATAGTTCGGAATCGCCTTCAAACTCTTAAGGAGAATTACGCTCCATGCGAGCTCCTGCACTCACAATTGCTGAAAGTCGCCACCAAGGAACAAAGAGAAACCGAGAAATACTTCAAGGAGGATGTCTACATCGAATTGGAGGACATCTACCTCGCAGCATCGGACTACATTTCCGACGCCCTCGCCTCTCTCGAAGCAGATCAAGCGCCATCAAGTCCAGGGTTATCCGTGAGTCAATCACAAAAATCTGAAAAAACTATTACATTACCGCGCATTAGTTTGCCGAAATTCTTCGGCGATTTACGGGAATAGGAAACGTTTCGCGATCAATTCCGCTCCATGATTATCGATCATGCCGAGTTGTCGAATGTTACGCGCTTGCAATACCCTTATTCATGTTTAAAAGACGAAGCACGCGACGCGTTGCGTAATCTCCCTCTGACCGAAGCGAATTTTAAAATCGCGTGGAATGTACTGCTCGCGCGTTACGATGATAAACGTCGAATAGTGACGGAACATATTCATACGCTTCATACGCTAGCAGCCGTTAATACCGATTCCGCGCAGGATCTTATGTCGCTTCGAGATATAGCTGATATGTCAATTCAAGCTTTAAAAAATTTCGGTCGTCCAGTTGAGTGGTGGGACGATTTGCTCGTCTACCTAGTCGTGCAAAAATTAAATAAGGCCACGCGTAAAGCATGGGAATTGCATTTAGGCGATAAAACGGAATATCCGTCGATCCGTCGTACACGGATCTTCATAACTTTCTCGCATCGCGAATTCGAGCGTTCGAGAATATTCCAACGACCAGTACGGTCAAAACAAAACCGAGCAAGTCGTCCGTGCAAAGTCACACGACGACCGCTATCGGAGACCATTGTCCGCTTTGTAAACAAGATCATTTCTTGTATGTCCTAATTTCAAGAAGAAACAGGTTAACGAGCGTCTCGATCTTGTTTTCAAATTTAAACGGTGTCTCAATTGTTTAAGCGCTCGACATTTCGCGAACACATGTCCGAGTAAACATAACTGTCGTCATTGCATCATACGATGCTTCACGAAGCGACGACATCGAGCACGACCGGGAATTCACTTGAATTCAACGAAACGAATACGTCAAATGAAAACAACGTCGTTTCACATTTAATTACGAAAACAACATTTGACAAATCTCGTGTTCTATTAGCTACCGTGCGGATTCAGGTGTGTTCTTCGTCTGGACGCACAGATGTCATACGCGCATTGTTAGATCAAGGATTTGTCACTAGTTTAATTAGTGGAAATCTCGCTCAACGGCTACGGTTATCGCGAACGCGCGTTGCTGTCTCGGTTACCGGTGAAACGCTCATTTAAGCGGCCTGCCATGGGCTGATCCGGAGCCCTCAAATGCCGATCCGATCGAAATGATCATCGGCGCTGATCTATACGGTGCTGTTCTGTTGCCGGGCCTGTGCTCAGGTTTCTCTAATCAGCCAACAACACAAAACTCCATTTTCGGCTGGATCATGTCCGATTTCGACGAGTTCGTCTTCAAACATGTCTAACGTGTCAGTTAATCATACCACGTTGCACGACAATCTCGATGACGAAATTCGATAGTTCTGGGAAGTCGAAGAACTCCCACAATTATCATACCTTACTCCTGAGGAACAACGTTGTGAGGAACATTCCCGAGCAACTCATTCTCGTGACTCTAATGGACGGTACGTCGTGCGGCTGCCGTTCAAAGCCAATCCTCCGATTGCAATAGGCGAATCTCGTCACATCGCCTCATCACTTCTTTCACGGCTTGAAGCCGTCTTCAAAATAACAAGGATATCGCATCCGAATATCTAGAGTTCCTACTGGAATACGAAAATCTCGGTCATATGAAGAAAGTAGACGAACCAGTCTCTGCTTCACAATCAGTTTACATCCCGCATCATGCGGTGATTCGCGAGCATAGCAGCACCACGCGGTTGCGCGTCGTGTTCAATGCATCTCAGTCGACATCGAACGGATCTTCACTTAACGATCATCTCATGATCGGTCCTAAATTACAAACCGACCTTCGATCGGTAATCCTTCGATGGCGACAACATCGTTATGTTTTCACTGCCGATATCGCAAAAATGTATAGGCAGATTCAAGTCGATGCGCGAGATCAAGATTATCAGCGCATCTTATGGCGCTCTTCATCATCCGAAGCAGTGCAAGACTACCGCTTGCTTACTGTTACTTACGGTATGGCGTGTGCTCCATACCTCGCTCTACGTACGATTCAGCAATTGACGCAAGACGAAGGCGCTCAATTTCCTCTTGCTCAATCAGTTTTACGCAATCAAATCTATGTGGATGATTGCATCTTCGGCGCGGATGACAAGCCGCTTGCAAGGCAAATCCGCAATCAATTAATTTCATTGTTACAAAAAGGTGGATTCCTCCTCCGTAAGTGGGCAAGCAACTGCCCTACGTTACTCAACAACCTACCGGTCAATGAAAAGAGTCTCAGTCAAGGCAAAATTCTGCAAAGCGACGAAAGTTTCAAAGTTTTAGGCGTCACGTGCCTTCCTGCTACCGATACATTTCAATTCTCAGTCGAAGTTACAGCAACGGTACCCGATTCGAAACGAAAAATTCTGTCTACTATCGCAAAATTATTTGACCCGCTCGGGTGGCTTGCTCCGATCGTAATTACTGCTAAAATTATCATGCAACAATTGTGAGCTACAAAGTGTTCGTGGGATGATCCAATTCCACCTCCGCTTATGCAGAAATGGTACAATTATCACACGCAGCTAATAAAACTGCGTAATATCTCGTTGCCACGATGGACTGCCTTCGGTTCTGATACAAGTCATTGTGAGCTTCACAGCTTTGCTGACGCATCGTCCGTCGCATATGCCGCTGTCGTATATCTTAAAGTGATTTCGCTCATGGGATCAGTTACTGTTTCGCTAATAATAGCAAAATCAAAAGTCGCGCCTCTTAAGCCCTTGACAATTCCACGACTCGAACTATGCGCTGCTGCGCTTTTAGCACAAACAATGTCGTTTGCTAGAACGACATTAGAACTTTCGACAATTCCATGTCATTGCTGGACGGATTCAACCGTCACTCACGCTTGGTTACGCCAATCTCCATCTCGATGGAAAACGTTTGTCGCGCATCGCGTGAACGATGTGCAAACTATAATACCTGATGCCACGTGGCATCATGTTCCGACTCATCAAAATCCCGCGGATCTAGCATCCCGCGGAGTTACCGCTTCCTCGTTCGCGGAGAGCTCACTGTGGTGGCAAGGCTCCGAGTGGCTCAAGTTTTCTTCAAGTCTGTGGCCGAATGAATCTCGGCAAGATTACGATACCTTGCTCGAAAAACGTTCGACCATCGTCGTACAAACTCTCGATATCGAATCTCAATGGGACTTAGCTTCCAGCTATTCTTCATCGCCGAAGCTTCTTCGCATAACGGCCTATCTAATCCGCTTTATTAATAAGCTTCGAAATCGTATATACAAAAAGCGGTCGTCAAACGACGAATCCGATTCTATTCCATCCGATATAATTTCGGTGGACGAATATAAACACGCGCGACTATTTTGGTTACGCATCATTCAACAAAATCTTTTTCTTGATGATGTCCCAATAAACACATTATGGTATATTATACGTTGAAATCAAGTATTTACCATAGGTCTAAACGTAATAGATTCAACGTATATCAGTTCCGTATAATTTTAGTTGTGATGTCCGGCTGATAGACGTTCTCATAAACTACATATATTCGTTTTTTTAACGTTATTCACATCCAATTTTTAAACGTTGTTCTCATTAGTTTTTTTAACGTTATTCACATCCGATTTTTAAACGTTGTTCTCATTAGTTTTTTTAACGTTATTCACATCCGATTTTTAAACGTTGTTCTCATTAGTTTTTTTAACGTTATTCACATCCGATTTTTAAACGTTGTTCTCATTCGTTTTTTTAACGTTATTCATATCCGATTTTTAATCGTCGTTCTTATTCGTTTTTTTAACGTTATTCATATCCGATTTTTAAACGTCGTTCTTATTGGTTTTTTTAACGTTATTCATATCCGATTTTTAAACGTCGTTCTTATTCATTTTTTTAACGTTATTCACATCCGATTTTTAAACATTGTTCTTATTCGTCTTTTTAACGTCGTTCATATCCGATTTTTAAACGTTGTTCTCATTCGTTTTTTTAACGTCGTTCATATCCGATTTTTAAACGTTGTTCTCATTTGTTTTTTTAACGTTGTTTTCTAATCAATTTAAATTGTATTTAATAAACGGATAAACTACATTTTACCAAAACATAATTTTTATCCGTTTATTAAATACAATTTAAATTGATTAGAGAATAACGTTTAAAAAACGGATGAGAACAATGTATAAAACCGGATACGAATAACGTTAAAAAATCGAATATATATATATGTGTGTGTGTGTGTGTGTCAAGCAAATGACATTAAACTCTAAACAAACATTTTTTAAGAAAGGAGAATATAAAATATTTCTTTTTATTTCTTTTTATAATGAGAAAGCATATATGTATTTATTATATTGTAAACAAAATTATATACATATGTATTTACATACATACATATGTATTTATGTCAATATATGGTAAATAAAATTATATTTTTTAATATAATAAACTTTATAATAATAAAATTTTTAAAACCGTACAACTGATAAACAATGAACAATAAACAAGAAGAAGGAAACCAATAACGATCAAAGCTGGATCACAAATGTTTATTATAATTACGTGTGGATTTTATATACTGCTACGTAGCAGTATAATAAGCATTTGTGATCCAGCTTTGACCGTTATTGGCTTCCTTCTTCTTGTTTATTGTTTATAATAAACTTTATAATAAACTATTAATCTTTTTAAATATAATACCTTGATCAAAAAATTCCCGGAATTCATTCAGAAAATTTAAAATACAAGTTTATTCATCAAAAGTGATATTGTCTCCTTCAAAGTACTCCCCATCGACTGCAACGCACTTATGCCAGCGCTTGATCCAGCTCTCGAAACATTTCTGGAACTCTATTGTCGGTATAGCCATCAGAGCCGTCTTCGATTTTTCCATTACCTCCTTTCGGCTGTTAAAACGCGTTCTCCGTAGTGGTTTTTTTGATTCGATCGAACAGAAAAAAATCGCAGAGAGCTATATCGGGTGAATTCGATGGCTGTTGGATGGTATTTATTTCGTTCTTGGTCAAAAATTCACGGATAATGATGGCACTGTGCGACGGTGCGTTATCATGGTGCAAAATCCATGAGTTGTTTGCCCACAAATCCTTTCTTTTTTGGCGAATTGCTTCACGCAAACGTCTCATAACGCCCAAATAATACTCCTTATTAAGTGTCAGGTAGAGAGACTTCGGTAGGAAGAAGTGGTTTCACAAGTACAAAAAAATGCCTGGCTTGGTTCATGTAACTAGTCACTGTTCTTTATTTTTCTGTTCACTTACTTAGACACACTTACAATAAACAAATTTTAAAAAGATTGACGAAAAAATACTGTTTCCGATATTTCATTATTTTCAATCGCAACGGCGGATCGAATGCGATAGCAAAACGGCGGGTTACTCTTGGCGGAGCAGCAACGTTTCTAAGAAATTTTAACGGCACTTGACTGTGACTTCGATAAAATACAAAAAATGAAAAGGTCAAGCCATGTTCAAAAATAGATCCTCGCAAATTAAAAAACCCAACAAATTTAAACCTTTGAAAACTAACCGCAAAAATTTGATCCTTCCTAAATTAAAACGATTACCTAACCACAAAATAGAAAACCCAATAAATTTCAACCTTTGAAAATTATTCCCAAAAATTTGAACTTTTCTAAATTAAAATGATTATCTAATAATGTAACATAATAATTTAAACCTTTAATACTTTAAATGATATTATCTAATATAATATATGACCACGAAAAGTAACTGATATATTACTAAATCTGCCAGTTCAAA